AAAAAAAAAAAAAAAAAAAGAAGATCGGCAAGGAAACCCTCACGGGCCGTACATCAGGGACAGCGAGTACAGCATGACCCAGCCCTGCCACCGTCACCATTATCAGCGTCGCCACCGTCAGTATCACTGTTACCATCACCGTCATCATCATATCAACTAAAATTCAAACCACGGCATGTCCCCAAGTTCATGCAAACGGACTCTTATAGAAACAAAACCATAGAATACATACCCTGGCCCTTGTGGTTGACTTCTTTGGCAGCAATGACTTTGTTTATAACAGTCTGAAGGAAGTCATTCTCCCCCGCCACCCTGGGTGAAAAACGGGATGACATGTTCAGCGGCTTGTGTCGAATGGCGTCGTCCAACGCGAGCCTGGAGGGCACGGGACGACCAAGACCACAGGAGACAAAGGGGCACAGGGACCCAGAGGTCACGGTAACAAGGGAACACAAGAGATCATCATCACCGAGTGCGAGAGAGAGTCATCACAAGTCAATGCACGACAAAGGACAGGATAGGTGACAAGAGAGACAGGGAAGAGCATTGATCAGGAAAATGCTGAACCGCACAAGAGAAGTAAAGCGAACGAGGTCGGCCCCATCCCCGGGAAATAAAAGTGAACCAGAGCACCACTCCGTGTCTATCAGACAACTTACAAAAAGGGAACTTATCTGAAAATAACATGGCCGAACAGCATTTAATCCCAAGGAATGTTTATGACCATTTCTTCTTTTTCATTAATTCTTGACCATATAGCATAGGTCAAGGGGTGGGTGCTTTGAAGGGAAAAGCAAAACCAAGACAAAAAAAAAACAAAAGATCCCTCGGACCTAAGTGCTTGGGAAGCTTGGGTAGCAACCACTCTGCCCCATCAGACTGTGTACTCAACGTAGCCTAAAATAATTAAATGTGAAGAGTGGTATAATCTTCAGAGAACACAACTACCATGCCTGAAGAGTAAAGCTGACACAATTATGAATGTAAACCATCAATGTTTTGGGGACTCATGGATCAGGAGCTTTTAATAGAAGCTGCACCAGGACTGAGAAAATAGAAACAAACAGGCGACATGGGCAAAGGGAAATACCGTGTAGCACAGCAAAGCACAATATGTAACAAGCAAGAAAATGTACATCAGGTATGTAATGTTTAAAATCATTTCTAGAAACTAGGACAAGCGCTATTCATCACTTGAGCCCACATTACTCAAGAAAGCTGAGTGCTGTTTTCATTTACTTCACCAAGTTAAGAAAGACAGAGAGAGGGCTTCCCTGGTGGTGCCGTGGTTGAGAGTCCGCCTGCCGATGCAGGGGATGCGGGTTCGTGCCCCGGTCCGGGAGGATCCCACATGCCACGGAGCGGCTGGGCCCGTGAGCCGTGGCCGCTGAGCCTACGCGTCCGGAGCCTGTGCTCCGCAACGGGAGAGGCCACAGCAGTGAGAGGCCCGCATACCGCAAAAAAAAAAAAAAAAAAACAGAGAGAGAGAAATGTACTCTATGCTTCCTTCCCTAAAATTTACCCTGTGGTATAAAAAATCAGTTTTAATGGAGCAAAATATGGGTTTCATTAGCATGGCATTTCCCAAAGAACTACTTCCATTGCTTATTTTGCTATTAAAATCATGCTTCTCTTTTGTTTCTAACACTGAACATACGAATCTGTATATCAGTCTTCCTTTAATGGAGCAAGAAGTTACAAATTACAGTAAGAAGTGAACATGTAATTAAAGTGGACATTTCACTACAAGAGAGAAAAAAGTGGCAGCAAGATGCCACCTCAAGTAGGTCGTAACAAGTCCCGGTGAAATTGAGATTAGTGAGTCTAAAACTAACCCCCTTCACTTTTCAAACCGTAACCCAAGTTTTTTTTTTCCCTTGACTTTTCCCAGAAGACACTAGTAGGCAACAGGTAATTTCAATGCACTGGTGCATTTGGGCATCAAGAAACTCGGAGGTCTAATGAATAAAACAGCATTCAAACCATCACTGGGCTGCATTGTTTTTCTCATGGGCAACTTAATGGTATCGTTTTCCATATTCCAAGACTATGTTCTCCTTGTTTACTAAAGAAACTTCCAGATTCTGCAGAATGGAGTCCCCTTTGTAACTCTCTTCACCAGGTATGATTCCAAAGTATCACGTTCCAACAGAACGTTCTATGATGACGGAAATGTTCTCTACCTGCACTGACCAATCTGGTAGCCACTAGCCACCTGTGGTACTGAAGACTTTAAATGGAACTAGTGTGATGGAGGCACTAAATATTTAATTTTAGTGAATTTTCATGAACTGAAATGGCCACATGTGGCTAGTGGTTACAGTGTTGGACAGAAGAATAAATCTAAAGCAATGAAGCCACAAAAAACCTTCGCCTCCAGTTGTGTGGTGAGATACCTAAAAGTGAACCTCAATTTCAAGCACATTAATGCAATGTTTTCTGTTATTCTAAATGCCTACTGAGCCATGCTTCAAGATGCTGTCTGACCAGATCACCTGCCTGTAAAGGAAACCACTCTGTTCCACCTTAAACAAGTGGTTCTCAAGCCCGGGGCTGAAGGCGCAGTCCGTCGTGCAAAGACAGGGGTGCAAAGGGAGACCACCTCCTGCTCCCCCAGCCCCCCAGGACAGGACTCCCCCCGCCACCCGCCAACCTCCAAACCCCCTCAGCCAACACCTGAAAACAACCAGAACTGGCTAAAATAAAATTTCTTTCAAGCCTGGAATCACTTAAGTAGAAAGAGAAATGAGGAGAAAAGACAGAATGCAGGGCACTATGACAGGTCATTCTAACTCAATTTATCCTTTACTCTGTCTTCTAAGATTTCACACCGCCAGGAGGAAGCCCCCTCTTGTAGTTAACCTAAACCCCTCTAATTCCTCCTCCTTTCTCTCTGTCTAAGGTGGAGAAGTGCCCTTGAAGGGACTACAGACCATTATCCACGTGCCCTCTGGCTTTAATCTCCAGGGAAATAACACCAATTCTTTCAACCTTTTCCACGGGAACTACCTTCAAATTGGAGAATCAATTTAATGAATCTCCTCCAAGTGCTTTCCAAGCACACCTCTCTATAGACTTCAGGCCAGAACTAGACAAACCCTAAAAATGGCAAGCACAGACAACGTCCACTCGAGGCAGCCCCAGAGACAGAAAAATCACAAGTTACAAAAGAATTCATTCTTATTGTGTGCAGTTTTTTTATTTTGAAGACAGCAACTTCCCATGAGGAATTTGAAACTACTGTACTTTGAAAATGTGAATAGCTACTAGAATAAATCAATTATGTAAAGAAACATGCATGCTCAGATTGGAATTGTAATTCTGAGTGTCCCACATGATAAGGCATGTCAGGGATCACACGTAAAATCTTCTACTCGCAAGACCATAAACTTTAACCCAGGTTTCTTGCGACTACAAAAATGCCCTTCACTAGAGCAGCGACTAAACAGATGTTTCATTATTATTCAATAATCAATTCCTGTTTGTGCTGAATTTATAAACTGAATTATAAACATAATTATTACAAACATACATTTTCCATATTCTATCTGGTTAAGTACTTTGCCCCATACTTACGGCTGAAAGGGAATGAAATGCTGTTTGTCTTCATCATCTACTTTTCCATTTATTATATCTGTTACATCCATCACTGGGGACAAGAAAAGAACAGAGGCGGTTTTGCTTAAATGCTATCATCATAGAAGACAAACAAACAAAAGAACATCAGAATGTCCTCTGACCAAAAACAAGCATAAACTGGTGGAATTTTCTTATATTCAAGTTTAAAGTATTTCCACGTTTGAAAGACCAATCAAGTTATCAGGAAACACCAGCCCAAATGGGGTTGGGGCTTAAACAGCAGAGTTCCACTTAATAAATTCCTTTGTCTATTACCCAACTGGCACCGACTGAGTTGCATTTTCCAATAGAACCTTGTGTGTGGATGAAATGTTCTATCCCAAGGAGCATCTGAAATGTGGCCGGTGGAATGGAGGAACTGAATTTTTACTCTGAGTTCACATGTGGCAGGGCGACCACACTGGACAGCACCGTTCTGGAGCCTCACGTCAGCCACTGCACGGCCCCAGCAAGGAAACAGTACATCAAGTGGCTACGGTTTACCCGCCCCGTGCTGGCATCCGTGGACACCATTTCAAGAAACACTGGACAGCTAATCCCCTCACTCACCTACTGTATGGTTGAGGAAACTAGGCTCAAAGACCTGAATGAATTTGCCCCAAATCTGGCAGCTGGAACATCACCGATGCCCAGCTCAGACCAACACAGCGAGGAACCCCGAGAAGAGCCCTAGGGGCACTGGACACGTGCTCTGTCTCTGCTCGGCTACCACAACTGACTGCAGGTAAGTGAGCAACACGCCTCACTTAATTCCTTCTGCACGGTCCCCTCTTTAACAACATACAATCATATATTAAAAATGGGGACAATTTCCATTTCTACCACCTCCCTCCACCCTAAAAAGGGGGAAGGGATTTGCAGGACCAGAGCAGAAGCATCGCTCCTGTTGTTAAGATGCGCATATGGCCAAGACTACATCTTTACCACCAGTTCTGAACCAACCAATAGAGCTCATTTTTCAGCCCAAGTCCAATCAGCCTTCGGTATTTGCAGACAACTGGCTCTATATGGGTCAGAACAAGTGAGTCTGAACCCAGGAGACTACCTCCTGCAGCCCAGGCCGCAGTGAGCAGCTCTCCTGTGTCCGCAGACCTCTCTCCTCTGGGACTCATCCCACCAGCTGACTATGAGTCTCTCTGATAATCCAGCTCCCTTGTCAAAGCCCCGTCTCTAGCCCTGGACACATCCAGGAGCCCAGCAACTACTGGCAGGAAGGCAGCATGTGAGCAAGAAACAAAACCTAGGTCTGAGCACCAGTAAGTTGAAAGCAGCCTTAGCTCTGCTACTTCCTGGGAGCGACAGCCCCATTGGGCCCCCAGCCCAATCTCAGAGGGAAAGGCGTTGAAATCGCCCATCACCATGTCTTTCCCTCACTGGTCTTCAGCACACAGGTCCTGGTGAAGAAAGTTCTCGCTGTGATTGGGACTTTGGCCATCAAAGGTCCCCGTTGCCCAGGGAAGAATGAAGGACTTGGGGGTCTCACCCCCAAAGTAAGAGCCCAAGCATTTCTATGTTCAGGTATGAGGGTCCATCTTAAGAAAGCCAAGAGTCCACTACTGGGCAGATACCCTGAGAAAACCATAATTCAAAAAAGAGACATGTACCCCAATGTTCACTGCAGCACCGTTTACAATAGCCAGGACATGGAAGCAACCACAGTGTCCATCGACAGAGGAATGGATAAAGAAGATGTGGCACATATATACAATGGAATATTACTCAGCCATAAAAGGGAGTTATTTGCAATGAGTTGGATGGACCTAGAGTCTGTCATACAGAGTGAAGTCAGTCAGAAAGACAAAAACAAATACCGTATGCTAACACATATATATGGAATCTAAAAAAAAAAAAAGGTTCCAAAGAACCTAGGGGCAGGTCAGGAATAAAGACACAGACGTAGAAAATGGACTTGAGGACACGGGGGGCGGGGGGGGGCGGGGGGGGGAGCTGGAGCGAAGTGAGAGTAGCATGGACATGTATACACTACCAAATGTAAAACAGATAGCTAGTGGGAAGCAGCTGCATAGCACAGGGAGATCGGCTCGGTGCTTTGTGACCACCTAGAGGGGTGGGATAGGGAGGGTGGGAGGGAGGGGATATGGGGACGTGTGTGTGCATACGGCTGATTCGCTCTGTTGTACAACAGAAACTAACACAGTATTGCGAAGCAATTACACTCCAATAAAGATCTATTAAAAAAAAAAAGAAAGCCAAGAGTCCAGCAGTATGTAGTCACCGAAGGTGTGTGACAGAGGAGGATCTAAATGGCCCAGAAACATGACATCACACGATGCAGGGGGTAGACGGAAGGTGGCGTCAGGATGCTGGTGATGGAGGAGGGACAGCACAGGTAGAAAGCCAAGAAGGCAGGGATGAGAAGCAGGCTCGAGTGACAACTCCCCACAGCCTGCTCATAGCCACTGGGCACCACACATCCAGGTGGCCAAGATGCACAGCATCCGCTTCTAGGGGTTCGTCCTCTCCCAACAGTCAGAAGAGACACAAAGATCCAAGTTCAAGGATGTGCACCGCATACCTGGACAAGAATATGTTTTAATAGCTCCCCAGGCTGTGTATATGATTGTGTAAGTGCAAATGAGAAATACACTTAGGGCTGAGAATCGTTGCCTTAAAAGATTTACCTTTTGCGCCCAAAGTGTACATGGCCACATCGCACGACGAAATGTCCTCCCTCATTCTCAGAGCAGACAGGAGTAGGAAGTTGGGAAACACATAAGCAGAAGGCTCAGGTCCTTACGTAGCATCTATAGAAACACACCAGCTCAACAGCTCAGGAAAGCCAGCCCTCTGGGATGAACGTGGACGGTGAGAGATCGCTTGCCCCCTCCCTACCTCACCCCACTGCTCCCTTTTGCTCTGAACCTAAAACTGCTCTAAAAATAAAATCTGTTTAAAATGGGCCAAAACAAAACTAAACGAAACTAAGCCCTGAGTTTCCTGGTAGCCCAGGTAAAGAGTCCTTCCATCTCTGCTCATACAAGAAATCCAGTGATGTATCAGAAAGGAAGAATTTTCTCACATACCTATTGATATAAATCCCAAGAATCCCAAAAAGGACAGGAAGAAATAGAGGGCTGCGTAATGAAACTCCACTGCAGCCATCAAATCGTGAGAGAAAAATCACTTCCCAAATTGTGAAAAATGAAAGTGACACTGAAAGAGGTCAACTAATTAGGACATCTTGGGGACACTTTCCTCTCCCCTCCACAGAGATAACTCATCACTCCCTTTACTTGTGCTGTCACCAAAAACAAAACAAACACAGAGCACACGTCTGCAGGATAAAAGGCCCCTATTTGAAGAGAACTCTGTCCTCTCCGGGCTTTCTGCTCCTTCTACCTTTTCATCCCTTTGACCATTCTGTGTAAATTCATTCCTAAATCTGTCAATCGCCGAGTCCAGAAACCCTGCAACCCTCCAGTGACTGGTTTCCCTCCAGGATGAGCATGTGGGTCAGGGTCTCCTCCAGGAGATAGGATCCACCTTCAAACCAAATATACAATTCGCCCCTGAAGCTGGTGGAGCAAAGACCCTGAGCTGAATGTGGACCTGAACCCATGCAGAGAAGAACGAATACATTTTTTTTTTCTCTCCAACAGAAAAGCTTATAAATCAAGCAGCCCGCTGTCCAATATTCAAGGGCAGCTCGTATTCACGGCAAAGGTGATGATCTTGCAACTCTTAAGAGAAAGGAAAGAAGTGGATTACCAGCCACCCCGAAAGGCCGCCGCAAGCCGGAGGTCAGCTTCCTTGTGTTATTGTCTCTCAGTTCCATGCGACCCACTCGAACGATCTGACACACAAAACTGATTTTCTCCCGTTTCAGGTCTTTGCTTCCGAGATCCTAGAAATATTAATTTCCGTAAGTTATTTTGGAGAACCATTATTCAATGCAGGTTCAATTGAAACAGACAGTAGAAAGATGGACTGCGACTCTTTTCTCCAACCAGTTTTTAGCATTTTAATAAGTCATTCACAAGACAAAAAGGAGCTGAATCACAAAGTCAATTAGCATTAAATGAACTTAAGATCCAAGTTTAAGAGACATACTCAACGTAATGAAGTACATCTTTGTCATTGGGATTCCAAGGGTAGCTAGAGACCCAGAAGATTCCTGGGCAGTTATGTTGTTATAGTAAATTAAGGAGTATTAAAGGCATCCCAAGGACCCATGCTCTAGTGCGGTGAGAAGTCAGAGGGCGGTCATTCAATAGTCCTTAGGATGGTGAGGGATTCAAATGCGCATCTTTGGGTGCACTTACAGTGAAGACAGCTCGCAAGTTATGTAATCTGTCTATATCTTTAGGCAATCCTGAACTTGACCAGCGAACCAGGTAGTTTTCACTTGAAAAAAAGAAACAAAAGCAAATTAATTTCCCAAATAGAACAGGGTACCAAATGTACATCCACACTGACTTTTAATTAATACCACGGAGGTCCACTACGCAGACAACTAAATGGGTTCAGAAATATCAACCACATCAGATACAGCTGCTCTGCCATTAACATATAAGCAATTTCCGTACAGGACGGTATGCAGCGACGGCCTATACAAAATCCCTGAGGTTTTAATTTTGGATGCTCAGGGTGATAATTCCAAAGGAACTATATGCAAAGGGCATTTCAAAGTTTTTATTACTTTTTTAACCACTTTTTTAAACTGAAGTCTAGTTAATTTCAATGTTGTGTTAGTTTCAGGTGCACAGCAAAGTGATTCAGTTATATACATATGCATTCTGCTTCAGATTCTCTTCCATTATAGGTTATTACAAGACACTGAATATAGTTCCCTGTGCTATACAGTAGGTCGCTGTTGTTTATTTTACACAGTTGTGTGTATATGTTAAAAGTTTATTATGAAAAGCATATCTGTTCATTTGGAGCAATTATAGTCTCACATTCACCATTCATTCATTTATAGTATAAAGTAAAACTGCCTGATAATTTCAGAGCCTGACACAAACCAAATATGACCTAAAAATACATACTGAATCCTACAAGAAGAAATAAAGTCCTTATCAGAAGTGGCGATGAAATTTGTTGTTTTCTGTCATATACTAAGTTTTTAAATTTTCAAAAATACGAGTGAAGATTCTAGACTTTTAAAACACACACACACACACACACACACATACACACACGCACACACACACAGTTTAAACCATACTTTTTCCCTCTGGACAAAGAGAAAGTTATACTGAGGAACAAAAACAAGAACTGAGAAAGAGAGCACGTGAGAAAGGACAGACATGGCAGAGATGGGATTTACAATATTTATTGAACAAACATTCTTTGAGAGCCTTTACATAGCAGGCACCCTTCTAGACACTGTATTCCAGCCAACCATCTCGGAGAAATCACAGTAGGTCAAAGGTGCAGAAATGACATTCACAGAGAACCAAAGCTCGAAAAAGCAAGATTAAGACAAGATCAATACATTGGGTGTGGCTTGGGGGGGGCGGGGTCAACAAACAAAACATCTTCTAAAGACAACATAGGAAGCATGACTTCAAGCTGTAGTTGCGAGGTCCTTATAACATTACAAGACTCAGCTTTACCATCAAATATCCACGTACGTGCAGAAAAGCTGACCCGGACGCAGAGTTCAGCTACCTGGGGGAAGTCTGGCCAGCTGATCACCCCTAGGGCTCCCTGCAAAAGCAAGACTTTGTGGGGGGTCCCGAGGCCATCTTCCCAACAGTAACCAAAGAGGAAAGACAGCAGCCGGGGAATGTCACTGACCTGATGAACTTGGACTCCACTGGGTCATACAGAGACATGAGCACTTCAGCATCTTCTCCGATTTTACACACCACGTTTTTGAGGTTAACAAACAAGGCCAGAGAAGGGGTGGCAGCAAACTTGGCTTGTCTGTTAATGTCTATGTTCTGCTTTTGAGACTGTCAGTGGAAATAAAACAATACAACAGAAAGTCGACAAGAGCAACACTCTCGGCTACCCCTTGCTTTGTTCATTCCCTACAGAAAACCATGTGAAACCAGCTGCAGTAACACAGCAAAGCCCTTCATGCAGCCCCTTCCTTGTCCTCACCTGACACTCTCATCACAGGCACGCACCCAACTGAAAATAACAGTGCCCTGTGCAATGGTCCCAGTCGCATAACAGCTTACACTATTTTCTTCAGATACAGAACACTTTGGGGCCCAGTCAATGAATCAGAACGGAGACTACATGTGGAGTTGCTTGTCTACTTTTTGGCTCTCCCATTAGAGCAAACCCTCCGAGGGCATCCCTGCTCTTCGTCATTATGGCCTCAGTACCTGGCACAGCGTAGGTGCGCAACAGCTGCTGAATGATGGATGGCTCGATCAGGCAATCGAGTTCTCAGTGTCAACTACATACAAGATACCATTAAAGGCCACGGAAGATGGAAAAGATCAATAAGATACGTGCTCCCTGCCCTCACTGAGCTTATTTTTTAATTAATTCTTACTGGAGTATAGTTGTTTCACAATGTTGTGTTCGTTTCTGCTGTACAGCAAAATGAGTCAGCCTTACATATACATATATCCCCACTTTTTTGGATTTCCTTCCCATTTAGGTCACCACAATGCATTAAGTAGAGTTCCCTGTGCTATACAGTAGGTTCTCATCAGTTGTCTATTTCATACGTAGCATCAATAGTGTATATGTGTCAATCCCAATCTCCCAGTTCTTCCCACCCCCCATTCCCCCTCGGTATCCATACATTTGTTCTCTACGTCTGTGTCTCTATTTCTGCTTTGCAAATAAGATCACTGAGCTTAGATATGTCACTCTCCTACTCCTATCAGAGGAAACACAAAATCGAGTATTGTTTCCCACGAGCTAAGACCACAAAGCCAATGTCATTAAAACCCTGCCCCCTGAGCTGAAGCACACCCCTCTCAGAGTTGAAATGCTTTCAGGTCATCAGCAGCATGTTTTGACGCTGGGCTCCATTCCACCCCTCGTCGTATGAAATATACTGTGTAGCTGTGCCTTTTCAGGTCCTTTTCAGTGCACATAATGGGCATCACTGATCATGTTTTACTAATGTAGAAAACTGCTGCTGAGAAAATGTGTTCCATGTGTAAATGGCATATTACAGAGAGGTGAACTTACCTTTTCTTCTTGTAATCTTTCCTCCACTTGTTTAGAAGCTACTTCATGAGCTCTGAAAAGACTAATCGTGCTAGTTAGTTCTGGATCCAGAATGTTCCCATCTTCATCTCTCACCACCAAGTCCAAATCAAGGATCCTAGAACAACAAGAATTCAGAACTTCACAACCCAAGGGCTCTGAATTCTCTAACAAACTTCAGTCCCAGCAACTGAGCAGAAAACATCACTGCAAGTCGGGGTCACCCACACAATATTAGGAAACACAATTCTGCAAGGTCACCGCCTTTAACTTAAAATGTATACCCTTGGAATTAAAAAAAAAAAAAAAAACTTATTCAGTTTTTCCTTCCATTGCCGTAGTGGCTTTGTCTTACAGATCTACAAAGTCCGAATGAAATGTACGTTGCTAATTACCATGTGAACTGTATAAACAATTTTGTTTTGTTTTGTTTTTGTTTTTGTTTTTGTTTTTTTTGCGGTACGCGGGCCTCCCACTGTTGCGGCCTCTCCCGTTGCGGAGCACAGGCTCCGGACGCGCAGGCTCAGCGGCCATGGCTCACGGGCCCAGCCGCTCCACGGCATGTGGGATCTTCCCGGACCGGGGCACGAACCTGCGTCCCCTGCATCGGCAGGCGGACTCTCAACCACTGCGCCACCAGGGAAGCCCTGTATGGACAGTTTAAAGCACACACATGCCATGTATATGCTGTGGCACATGTGTGTATATAAATTTGTGTGTGTATGTGTACGTATATACAGTCACATGCCCACCAATATGCCCAAATATATACAGCTGGTGGTGGGGGACAGGTGGGAGGAAGGAAAAGCCGGGGCAGAGGCACACCCACCACTCCATTTCCTCACCACTGTCTCTGGCAGCTTCTACTGCACTACTTTCCTTCTACCTAGAGTCAGTTCTAATCCCTTAATTAGCCCAACAGAAGATTTTCGATAAAGACGTTCTACTGTTTCAACACAGAACGTACGGAAGTCACCCACAGTGATGTTAAGCATTTCTGCAGATGGCTAAATGTAGCAGCCGCCTTAAAACACAGGCAGCATCTGAGTAATAAGCCTGTCCGTCTATATCTGGAAATGGTTTTTGGCAACATTCTCTCCATTTCCCCAAATCCAACGAAATAGGTGATTTTTACCACAATTTTTATTTAAAGAATAAACAAAGGCAATTATATAAAGAAAGAAACCAAGGGCTGTGCTACGGTGGTGTGTTCTGGTTTTCTTTTAATAAGACGTGAGGATCTTAACCACAGATGCCTTACACTTTGCCTTTTGGATTTTTCTTCCTGCTATTAACAAGTCTATAGAAGCGGGGCGTTTTTATTTTTTTTAACCATACAACAAAGGAAAACATCTTTTGAAATGAAGATAAATTTCAGTTAGAGAACATCTTTAACAGTTACAAGTTGAAGAGGAAAGTTGACTTGGCAGTAAAACCTCCATCTAGATGAACTAATCTCTGACTTCTCCGAAGGTCACACACCTTAAAGCTACAGGTGAATGAGTCTAATAACGTGTCAAGCAGGTTCAGTTTTGTCAGTTGTGCTGGACCACTGCACTATTTGTGGAAGGCAATCACAAAAACCTCATTTTGTCCTGTTAATATATCTACTGAGCAAATTCACGGATGGTGAAACAAGACCAACTGGGCCTGTCGGCAGCCCAGGGTAAACGGGCTTTTAAACGAATAGAGGCTTTTCCCTTTGCATGAAAAGAACCTTAGTGGTTGTAATGATAGTGAGGGATTTCAAGAGGTAATATGCTCTTATTAGCTGTCTCTGTAACAAGATTCACCAATTTGGGAAAGCCCCTCCCTCTTAAATATTACTGCTCGTTCCCTGGGAGGAGCCAGTGCTGGTGTGGGTGGAGTCAATGCTAATGAAGTGGGATCCATTCTGATGTGGGCACAGTCAATGCTAATGAAGTGGGATCCATTCTGATGTGGGCACAGTCAATGCCAATGAAGTGGGATCCGTTCTTATGTGGGCAGGGCCAGGGCTGGCGTGGGCAGAGTCAGTGCTGTTTAGGGTGGGTAGGGGTTCCTGTTCTGGTGTGGGCAGGGCCAGTGCTGGCGTGGGCAGAACTACAAAGCATCTGGCTTTAGGAGGACGCACCAGAAGGTCCTGCAGGCCACACAGAATCAGGCTCCCTGAGAAGCAGAGGCTCTGGCCATGCTCCAGCCTGCTGTGTACACCCTGCCAGGTCCCTCAGGCCCGCCAGTACAGCTGGTCAGACCCATTTCACAAAGGAGGAAACCTAAGCTCAGAGAAACATCTAAAAGACCCCAGGGCCTGGATTCTGAGCCAGAACCCTCTCATGGCAGAGCCCATGCTCCTTCCGGAATGCCATGTGGCAACTGCGACAGGAAGTGGTCTCTCAGGGATCTCCACACCAACCATCCCATGCGCTATTCTCAGCAGCTGGGACCCTAACACCATTAGAAACTAAATCCGTGGAAGCCCAAAGCACCTCTGGCGGCGGGGGGGGACTTCCTGAAATTACGTGCAAAATTCTGTGTGCATGTTTATGTGTTATGTATGTGCATTTTCCTAGAGAGATGGTCCACGACCTTAATCATATTCTCAAATGTCTCCCAGAAACCACTTTAAAATCCGACTTTCAACACAGTGATTTTATTTTTTACTATTTTGTTTTCTGAAGAAGGAACTAAAAAGATATGCACAGAGTACTGGGCTTTAGAGAAGTTACGGAGTAGATCTGAGTTCCTTGGGCAAAAACCTATCTTGTTAAGGACTGCATTTCCTATCAAAGTAGTAAATTACGTTTGGAAATACTTCCCTTTCTTAACTAGATTGTTCCACGACATAATGTACTTTGGCTTCCCACGGCCAAATTAAGCAGGTGGTTTCTGGACATAAGTTCAAAATATGATACTCCAAGAGAAAATAGAAGCAAAGCTCCAAAAGTTTGGGTTTTTAGGCAGGTGGTCTTGAAGAGGGTTTCACTGCAACAATATCTCATATCCTATACCCAGAAATCTCTGGCTTCCTGGGGGAAAAAAAAATTAAAAGCCTTCTCCTGTAGCCTTTTCTAATCCAAACATTACATCTTACTAATAATGCAGCTTTTAAAACCTTTTCACACTTGAAAGTCTGAATTACCAGAGAACAAAACTGTTACAATTCTGATTTTACAAAACACTTTTTTAGTTTTTCCAGGGCTCCCTTCAGCTGAATGGAGCTACTTCCTGAGCTTTACGTCCTAACGTGTAAAATGACGAGGCTGGACTAAACCAGTAGTTTCCCAATCTGCTGTCCGTCACAGTCCAAGTCTATTTCTAAAGACTGGGGTTTCTAGCCAGTATTCCAGACGCCAGCAATCAGGACCTTAAGGAGTGGTTCCCAGGATGCTATATTTTGAAAGCTTTCCAAGTGATTCTGATACAGACCAGCATCTGGGGGTCCTGTGACCAGGTACTTTTTAAGGCTTCTTCCAGCTCTGACATTATATGAACAGTCAAATAGCTACCCGGCAGAAAAGGGCGTGGCCTCATTCTGGTTACAGAACCTGGGAGAGCTGGGATGGCTGTACATCAGAAACGCACGCTCACGCTCGGACACGCATCTCTGTGGGACAGTGAGTGCACCATTGTTAAAGGCATTCAAGCAGAGCTGGGCGGCACCCTGCTGTAAATGGGAACTTCTGCATGAGACATACTCCTGTAAAACAATTACGTGTTGTTCATATCGAAAATGCAAATTTAGCTGGCTGTATACTTTTTCCAAAAAAAGGTCTCACATATTTATTATTAAGCCAATAATAATAGTTTCTGCACTAGTGCAGAAAAACTGACACAAAAATAAAACACATCCGGCTGTCCAGATACTAGTGAGGGTCTCAGAGAGATATGGTAACATGCAAGTGATCTTGACCCAGCATAAATGTGCGCCACCTCACGCAAGGCTCCTTATACACCCAGCTTGGTTCTTCTCCAATGTCTTCTCTTGGAATTTTACCTGATTTTATTACCAGTTTTCATTCAAATCCGTTGGGGAATAGGACAATTCTCCTTTTGTTCCTTGGCCAGGAATCGCTTGATCCTGAAAGTCTTGTGAGAAGACATGGCAAGGAGCAAATTCAACCACACACAGGATGACGGAGAAGAGAAGAGACCAGCTGGCTGTATTTTTGTTCGCCAAATCTGGCGTCCCTACACTGGTGCCAAGTTTTAAGGTGCCCTTCGATGTCCCTTCCAACTTTCAGAACGCAGGACTGCACAGAAAGAAACCTGGTGCTTTTGTTACTACACAAAGTACCCCCATGTCTGGAATAAAGGTCAAATACTGTCAGCAGAAAGGAAAAGTTCCCCGTCAGGGGAATCAATGCGCGGTCCCCTCTGAAAGAGTGACAATGACAGGTTATCCCAGGCCCATCTTCTTGAAAAGAATACTTTTCAACAGTGACTCAGAAAACCCCTGATCTTCAGGATCCAAGAGAAAACAGCTCATCCTTTTAAAAATGAAACCCGTGCCATTATTTTGATGTTAGAAATTTTGTTTTATCGTAAGATAGGATTATATTCTCCTCAAGGTTTATGGGGATGCTATTATATTGGATAACATAAGCATGAAATCATCTTTCAAATAAACAAACCTGTTTCCATAATCAATTTTGGCAGTGACTTTCTTCTTCAGTTCTTTGAGCTCATCCTGTGGCAGAGTTCCAGAAAGAATTTGCGATCGCCACTCAATAAGGTCGTAGATCATGTGCCGAACGTTTCGAAACATCTCCCTGTTATCTTGCTAGACGAGGGGGGAAAAGCCAGTCGTTAAGTTCTTGATTTAAAAGAGCACTGTGGATGTCTTTTTTCTCAAATAGACATGTCTGTGCTTTACATGATGATGTTCAATTAATGTCAAATTAAAGATGTTTTTAACATGCAACTGAACACATTAGATAGAATTTGGTTCCCATCACACACGAAAAGATTAAAAGAATAAAAGACAATGCACGATCTTGCATATTCCAGCCAACCAGAGTAGACCAGGGCAGGATCTGGACTTGGAGCCTCAAAGCCAGCACGGGAGCTTCTAGAATCTGGCCTATGAATGGGCAACCCTTGTAGCTCCCTGAGGAAGTGCCCAGCCTACAGATCCTGCCTACTGAGACTTCAGAATACCTTCTCCCCCAATAATTCTCAGCACACAGAGAAACTCAACCCTGAGGCCTGTCGGCTGAGCTACAAGAGAATGTGCCTCTGGGCTCTTCTGGTGACTGTGGTGCATTTGGCTTGTGCAGAGAGGCTTCTGCAAAAGGCAAAATCTGAGTCTACAAAAGCTCTTGGTGCGTTTACGCCAAAAGGGAAGCACAAACAAGATACAAAATTCGTACCGCTTATCACTTTCTACATATTCCAAGGGGTTTGATGGTACAAAGAATAGCAACAGTTTTGCAACAGCAAGAGTACAATTCATCAAGAGGGACCTCGCTGGTGGCACAGTGGTTAAGAATCCGCCTGCCAAGGCAGGGGACACGGGTTCAAGCCCCGTTCCAGGAAGATCCCACATGCCGCAGGGCAACTAAGCCCGTGCGCCACAACTACTGAGCCTGCGCTCTGGAGCCAATGAGCCACAACTACTGAGCCTGCGCTCGAGAGCCGGCGAGCCACAACTACTGAAGCCCACGCGCCTGGAGCCCGTGCTCTGCAACAAGAGAAGCCACCGCAACGAGAAGCCCGAGCACTGCAAAGAGTACACTTCATCAAGAAAATGAGGAATCACCCAAAGGAAAAAGAATCCTGTGGTTCTTTCCATGAAAAAAAACTAGCTGAAACCTAACTTGATAAAATTCTACATGGCACGGTGCCTATAAAAAATTAAAATGTGGTCATTGCTACATTTTAGAATAACTTCTCCTCTACACAGGTGAATCTCTTACCCCCACTATTTCTATATTTGACATCCTTTCTAGGAATTTCTTAGATCCCCACCACTTACCCATCCTATCATGCCCTAACAGATTATCTTCCATCCCATGAGCTTTTTTCCTTAGTATGTTCCTAATCTTAATTTCTTTCTTTCTTTTTTTTTTTTTTGACCACGCCACAAGGCTTGCAGAATCTTAGTTCCCCAACCAGGGATTGGACCTGGGCCCACGGCAGTGAAAGCACTGAGTCCTAACCAACCACTGGACCACCAAGGAATTCCCATAATCTGAATTCCTTAAATGAAAACTAAATAATCAAAGTCACTGGTTTATTCTAAAATTAAGTTTGTTTCCATCTTATTAATTCTCCTTGTCCAGTTTTATAAAGCATTACCAAATATCTAAAATCCTCAATATTTTCCTAACTTGTCTACAGCCACAGAGCAGAGGGGGAAAAAATATTTATGAGCAATATGTATGTGTGTGTGTGTGTGTGTGTGTATCTATATCTATATCTATCTATCTATATATATATATATATATATAAAATAAGCACTGTTGTTTAGCTTTACACAAACCTAGCAATGTAAATCCCTAAGAGGCAAATGTAAATTTTTTAAAAGAAACCAAGGTGACAGTTAGGAACGCCTGTTCCGGGACTGTATGGCTACAACCGTGTCCACTAACATATTTGTCAGCATCAACTCCTGTTTGTTTTGCTGCTGCATTTTTGTTTAAAAATTGCTAACATGAAACACCGACTCCAAAATTGCTCAGATTTACACAAGACATTCCCGGCTAACTTTACGCTTTTAGGTTTTGGAGAACATTTGATGAACAATTACTGCAACAGCTTATTACTGTGCATTTATAGGAAACCACTGTATAATCAAAAGCAACAAGGCTGCCTGGAGAGCAGCTGTGGGACGCTGGGAAGTTTTCTATGTTCCCGAGAAATCGAAGCACGGCCTTACCTCCAGAGTCCTAGCTTTGTGCTGACAACATTAGCAGATGAGAAGTCAAGACTCTGAAGAGAAATACAGGCTTAACAAAAGGTATGCTTCCGTAAATATGAATTTATGTGCAAAGAAATGCCCCGGGGAATACGAAATGGAAGATGTCAGGGCTCCAAACTCGCTGCATTAATAAGGCTTCTTCCGAGATGAGGAGAACTGGACATCGCACACGAAGCCAGAAAGTAAAGTATTTCTGTCCCTCTGCAACAGACACGCTTAGGTCTAGAAGACTATGTCATTTTTCTCAAATGAAAAGAAGCATTACCTACATGCAAACAATGGCAAAGATAGTCATCCCTCTCTACTGCATCCGTACGAAGCACCTACGACAGTTTCAAAGCAGATTTTCACTTTCATACTCACATACAAACTTTGAGGGAACCCCAGCGCAGGTTGCCTCAGCCTGTCTTCCAAAGCCTGAAAGCGGCCCATTTCCCTTTCCAACACAAGGAAAGGTGAAACCCATGGCCCCTTCCTTGACAGCCACTTCACTGCAGTCAGCACGGCTACACCCCAACACAAAGCAGGTGGAAGGGCACATGGTCCCTGAGGGTGGCCAGAGTACTGGGCCAGGCTGCTAAGTATGACCCGCTCCCACAAGTTCTGCTTTTGAGGTTCCCGGAAAAAGGCAAACTACCCTGTTGGTTCAGCGGGGTCCACAAAGACCCTTCTCTATTGCTAAGCTCCGATTCAAAATCCCATTTTCTCACCACGTAGAGCTGCCTCCAGATGGTGGACCACTCTCTCAGTGTTGTGGTGACTTCCTGTATGAGCGGGAGGTCGCCTGGGATGACCGTTTCATGTTGCCTGGGAAGGATGTAGGAAAGGAGAGAGACGGTCATGGCTTCGTTAAACCAGGGGTACCCTGTAAATTCCAAATCTAGGCCACAGTGTGCAATATTTAAGCAAATGGAGAGACAGTATACAAAATGAGACTGTGCCCACAAAGGAATACATACATCTCTACGAATGACAAGTAATTTCTGTACAGAGTCTGAGAACGTTCGTACGTCATCCTCCGTGTAAGCCATCTACCTCGTATGTCAAGGTAAGATGAAGGAGGCAAGTAACATCCCATCAGAACATCAAGGTCTGAGAAATGGAAAGTATATCATAATATGCGTACCCATCTATTTTATAGATGCCGTAAATTACCACCAGTCTGTGTGGCATTAAAATGCAGGTTTGGGATAAGATGATTTTTTACATTTCCGTCAGGCCTAAAACTCATTCTATGATAATATACATGAAGCAGTTATCCTTGCTAAGCTAAATATGAGCGAGGTTACAGCTTTCAAGTGTCCACAGGTGCCCTGATCCCCAAATTCTGCTTATCCTCTTTCCCTTTTCTCTCCACCCCAGAAGGTTAACCCTTGACTTATTCTTGACTCACGGTCTACCAATATTTGTGCGCTGGTTTTTATTAAATCAACCACTGTTTTCTGGTCACGTGCTCTACGTCGGGCATTGCGCTAAGGAGGACTCATAATATTGATATGTGGGACTGGGTCAGAGACTGAATGTAGTGGCTTGTGAAGTTAGACCACCTGGGCCTACAGGTCCTGAACAGACAAGACTCCCATCAACATGAAGTGTCCTGGGGGCATTGAAATAGGTCCCACCTACATATCTTCAACTGCCTGGAGCCCAGACCTGTGGGCAGGACCCTGACTGCGGCTCACAATCGGGGTTCAAGGCTGCAATGACTCATTGATGGCGGGGTGCTCCCCAAGGAAGAAACACTGGAGTCCCTGAGAGAGGGCCAGTCCCTCCAGAGACGTCTGGCCACGTGCACCAGCGGGAGTAGCAGGGACCAGACATCCGGGGACCCGGTGGCCCACGGGACCACCCCACATGAAAGTGCTGCTAGGAATTACCCTCTGCTGGGACATCATCAGTGTCCATTACAAGACGTGATGGTTACAGCAGCCCTACCAACTCTGTCACCGAGTTTCCCAGTAGGGATGTTGATGAAAATGTGGTTGGCATCATGATTCTGTGATGTCATCCCTGCAAAGCCTCCAGGGAGAGCTTCTCTACGCACAGTGCGAGGACGCTCGTCAGTAATTGGGTTGCATTCACGTCACAGAGCCTGAGTTTCACGCTGGGTCCACTGGGCTCTTCCCACTGGCTAGGAGACACCTGGAACTCAATGAGACCCAGCTTTCCCCATGGAAGGAGGGTCTCACTGCACACGGTGGACCCCGGTCTCAGCTCTGGATCCTTCTCACCTTCTTTCCTGCATTGGCCTGATCTGTCCCCTGGACTGAGTGCCAGCTGGCTCTAAGGTATCTGACGCGGCTGTGCTGTTACCTCTGCAACCACCCTGTTACCTGCTGGGGACCAGCAGTAAACACACCCGACAGTGCCTGTCACAGGTGGTGATTCATATGAGCTCCCTGGCTCTGCATGACTGAAGCAGATGTCATGGGACAAGTCAGGGCCGGAGGTCCCCATCCAAGTGTTCCCCACAGAGAGGGGACAGCTGAGATGCAAGAACAGAAGCCACCTCAAGGGGGGAGGGGCAACAGAGAACCAGAAGGTAAGGAGGGCGCCCTGAGAGGGGCAGGCAGGGGTGATGCAGGGGGGGAAGCACCAGAAGCCACAGGAGCTGAGTGCAGCGGACGCCCGCCAGTGTCAGATGCGACAGACAAGCTCCAGAGAGGAGGGCTAAGAAGACACTGGCGATTAGGAGGTGTGGTAACCATGTCGGTGTCAGGGGAGGGGACAAACGGGAATTGCCTTGGTCACGAGGCTAAAGGTACAGGATCGGTGGCAGCCGCAACACAGCCACGATCTGGGGTGTCTGAGCGTGAAGGAAGGCCGATGTACAGAGAGGACAGAGAGCCTGCAGGAGAGACGGGATAATGAACTTGGACAGCAAGGAGACAGGCAGGGGCAGGATGAAGAGTGGCCGGCACTGGAAAGGAGGAAGGACCAGGAGAAGAAAGGGAAGGTGACGCCCACGGTATCCGGAGGAAAAGTACGGAGTGAGGCCACCGGTCGTCTGAAGGCAGGAGGTTTTCTGCCAGGAGGGAGGCGGGAAGCAGCCAGGTTTGGGTGGCAACAGCCGAGGGAGGGTTAGGGCAGGTATCAGTAAGAGCAATCACAGGAGCCCTGGAGCATCGGCAGAGAACTTTCTAGACTGCTTGTTTCACTGGTGCCCCATTCGTTTGCTCACGCTGGGGCATGTGACACTAACCCAGGGACAGGAACAGAAGCGTCTGTCTGCCTGTCCATCTGGCTGTCAGGGGGTGACTCTACTTACCAAGAATCCACACAGTCCCTTGTGTCCTTCACTATTATGCTTCATAATTACATTTTACATATGCTCATTTATATACATCAAAGTGCTTTTTAAAAAAATAATTCCTATACAGTCTGATGTCCAGACTGATCCTGATACAGACTGAAGTACAATACATGAAAAGCACACTTTATTCAACTATTTCCACAGGAGGGTGAAAGTTTCCAAACTTTCCTCTTTTTACTTCCCTTTGAAACTGTACATACAAAACATTTTATCTGTAGCAAAAAGGACCCTATTACAGGTCATCACATTTATGCCTCTAAATTATTTTCTTCGTTTTAATCGGAACTGCAGAGCCCGACCTAGTCCTTTTCGTATGTTAAAAGTACACTGCTTGGAAAGGCAACTTTGTAATCAGCCACAGAGATGTCATTCTGCAGTAATCATATCGTTAGTACTTTGATCATTTACATATTTAACTAGTGTGAAGACGTAGCAGAGACAAAAAAGGAAAACATTTTAATGCTCCTTCCTCCAAGTTCGCACCTGGCTATTCCTTTGCCATTCCTGCCTAATGGGTTTCTGTTCTACGAATGTCCTTTTAAAGATCTTATACATCAGTTTTATGACCTCTAGGAAACATACGTCAGCATTAAGCAACGTGTAAATTCACACACACCCCAATTTAACAACTGTTGCTTCACCCTCAACCCCATTTGTGTCACAGCCTGCAAAGTCTTCCGGAAAAATGGATTCAGAGCTGGGGGCGCCGTGCAGGCTTTGCCTAATAGGGTGGCTCACAGAGGAAGAACTACGAAGCTTTCCAAATCTGCATCAGGTTCAAGGAGGTTGACTGCAGTTCCGACGCTGACTTAACTTAAGACTGTGTGAAGGCTCAAAACCATGCTATGGACAGCCCTAGATCAGAAGTTTCCCTTCTCTCCCCAAACTCCTGTCACATCAGGGTCAATGGCACCCATTGTCCAACCCCCAACATAGCCCTGCAAAGAGCCTCAGGCCAAATACAATCACTGCATGACTTCATTTAAATATCAAGACAAGACTCACCCTTTTCCTTCAACTATGGCTTCTTTAAGATGAATATATGAAGCAGGAAATATACCCTTTGGGAGGAAAAAAGACAGCAGGTTTTATTATTAATGAGTACTGATTGCAAATCGAACGACTGCCCCCCCATAATGGAGGTGGGGATGGCTGGATCACTATTAAATCTGCAAGCCTAATGCTAAGTCTCATACACAACATAGCACAGAAAACAAAGAAGTGTAAAAGATGGCAACTCAATCCGCTTGTGTTTCAAAGAGGCTGCAGACGTCTTAGAAGAAAACAGACGCAATCTGTTTGCAAAGAAAAAATCCCACAGGGACTTTGCTGTGTCTTCTCCATGGGTCACACCTCGTTTTTACTGCTGACCTCAACACAGGAAGATCCACAGCCAAATGATGTCTAAGAACAATTTCTGACAATGGCTTCTGACGGTTCTTCCTTTCGAAATACTAAAATTGTCATCAAAAGTTAGTTTATACCGTTGATCATCACATAGGCACTGACTGCTTACCTGACCCAAGGAGACTTTCGCAACCATCTCCAGAGGGGCCGTCAGATAAAATAGAGAAACTGGGTGCATTTCGCCCAACCTGCCAGACTCTTAGGGGGAGCACACCAGGTTACACAGAGACAGTGCTTGGCACCCCCAAGCGTACGGCACACAGGGGCCCAACAGACAGTTCCGAGGGAGACAGCTCCTCAAGAGGACGGTCAGTGTCAGGCGCCGTGCGTGAAGTGCCAGGAGCTTTACCAAGAGTTCTGGTCCTGCTTCCTGAGCAAGGACACTACCTCCCTTCCTGGAGGGCAAGCAATGGGGCACCAGGCCCTGGGATCTTGCAACGATGCAACGCAAACAGGTTGTGGCTTCCCACGTGAGATGTCATGCACACAGCAAAAAGCCAATTAGTGGCCCTGGTGGCTTCGGGCACCTGCTGTGGGAACAGGAGCTTCCGACTAGGTTTCCCTGGCATCTGGCCCCGAAGGATTTCCACAGGAAATCCAGAAACCACCCTACTAATCCTGCTTGGGAAGGAGGCATGGGCACCACTGGTTCAGGTTCCTCCTGCCTGCCAGGGAAGTGGCCGCACTTCATGTAAGGAAGAATTATCACAGAGAGGGAAGGAATCAGGCAGAAAGACAGAGGCTGACCACCAAAGAGGACTGCGGGTGCCCGATGCTAGGACACCTCCAGATCCCAGGACGGTCTCCAGGTGCACATTTGATGTCAAAAGGTGAGCACGGGGTGGGGAGGGACGACGGGACGGACACGCATACAAATAAGCCAGTCTCGCCCCCTGCCCATGTCCAGAGATGTCCCTCAGTCTCGGTGAACCTGCTCTCGAGAATCATGGAGCCACAGAAGGGACAGTGAAAGAAATGAGGCTGGACACATCTGGAGGCTTGAAGTAAGTGACTTTTTTTTTTTAATTCATTTTATTTTTGGCTGCATTGGGTCTTCGTTGCTGCGCGCGGGCTTTCTCTAGTTGCAGCGAGCGGGGGCTACTCTTCGTAGCGGTGCGCGGGCTTCTCATTGCGGTGGCTTCTCTTTTTGTGGAGCACAGGCTCTAGGCACGTGGGCTTCAGTAGCTGTGGCACGCGGGCTTAGTAGTTGTGATTCACGGGCTCTAGAGCACAGGCTTAGTAGTTGTGGTGCACGGGCTTAGTTGCTCCGCGGCATGTGGGATCTTCCCAGACCAGGGATTGAACCCGTATTCCCTGCATTGGCAGGTGGAATTCTTAACCACTTTGCCACCAGGGAAGCCTGCAATGAGCAACTTCTCCAGCTGGGGCAGTCGGGACCAGCCCAGATCTATTGCTCATTTGTGAATACCGATAAAAGGATGCTTCCAGAACACAGAGTCAGGTTACTAGGAGCCAAGTCCCTTCTCTGCTACCGCCTGGGGCAGGGGTGCTGATGCAAAATCACAACCGACCCTTTTAAGGCTTCAATTTCCTCATCTGCTAATGAAGATTTTAGGTGGAAAAATAAATATGCCCCTACCCAGCTCTATGAGCTGTAAAGTCAGGGCCCTGTGGTGCAGGGGAGGAAGGATTAGGGCCCATGGAGGCATGAGGAGTTGGGAGAGATCCCGACTGGGAAGGTGGTACCAGACACCAAATATCAAAGAAAAGTGCACAGCTTCCCTGGGATGCACCTAGCGCTTTGTCACTGGGGAGGGGGATGGTTCATAGCCCTAATCTCTTTATTAATCAAGTCCTCAATTGTGGCTTTCTCACATGAACCTCAGGTTTTCATCTGCAGGAATACATTCTTTTTTTTTTTTTATTGAAGTATAGTTGATTTACAATGTTGTGTTAATTTCTGCTGTATAGCAAAGTGACTCAGTTAAATAAATATATATATATACACACACACACACACACACACACATTCTTTTTCATATTCTTTTCCATGATGGTTTATCACAAGATATTGAATATAGTTCCCTGTGTTATACAATAGGACCTTGTAGTTTATCCATCTTATATGTAATAGCTTGCACCTGCTAATCCCAAATTATGGAAGAGATAATCAATGTGAAAATAGAACTTTCCCTGGAGAAATCTATTCCACCAGCCACCTGGTTGGAATCTACCTTGTTCAAAGCTCAAGGCTCCAGGTCATTGGATGTGTAGAGACTCATAGCCCAGTCTGAGCTCGGCAGGGTGGAGGTGGGAGGTCCTGGCTCCCATTTGCAGATCTGGCTCACCAGGTATCCCTAACAGTATCTCTCACATTAGGACAGACTATGCCAGAGAAAGGCTGCCGCGAAGCTCAGCCTGGAGGCCTCCGAGGTGACTGAGACCAGAGGATGGACAGCTCCCACCTGTCTGGCACAGCCTGAGAGCAGGGCGTCTGGGGAAAGCAGATGAAGAAGGCCCTGTGCTTGCACAGCTGGACTCCAGCAGCCTTAGCTACAGGCTCCGGACCACAAGAGGAGCCCAGCCCAGTAACTAGATAATGAGAGGCCAAGCTAAGAAACAGAAATAAAATGAACCATCTGTCAAGTATAATGAGATTTTATAAGGTAACGTGGACAGCCAAACCACAGCTTAGAATGGAACAGTACTTCAGAATCGTAGAATGAAATGGAAGAGCCGTCATTAGATTTTGTGAAGCTGAGAACGGAAAAGCCACAACAGAACTGTGTACGGGACTGTCCACCACAATGTAACCGCACATCTTAGCTTCAGAAATTCAAACAACCACGCATGCAAACTGCCCTGGAAGGCAGAACCTCTTTCTTTTGCCAGCGACGTAAGCAGTATAAAAATAGTTATAAGCAAGAGGGGAAAAAGCAAGCGTGAGCGCTGCAAATCTGCTAATTTATCATCAAGGATAATGCAAGATTGAAAATAGTGAGCAGTACTTTCTTCCCAAGTCATTATACCCAGATCATTCTCTTACACACCCTGTGCTTAAACAGGATGCAGAATTCTACCAGGAAAAGAAGAGTCCACCTCTCATGACAGCAGGTCAATATCACGCCACAGCCCAGCCATTCACTCACAGAAATGAAACTGCAATTTCTACGTACATATGTTGTTCAGAAGAAAACAATTCAGGAAGGGAAGTGATAAATTAGAAGTTTGGGGTTAACATATACACACTACTATATATAGAATAGATAACTAACAAGGACCTACTGTATAGCACAGGGAACTCTACTCAATATTTTGTAACAACCTGTATGGGAGAAGAATCTGAAAAAAATGGATATATGTATAACTGAACCACTTTGCTGTACACCTGAAACTAACACAACATTGATAATCAATTATACTTCAATTAATAAAATAAAATTTTTTTAATTAAAAAAATTTTTTAAAGAAAACAATTCAGGGTAGCCCACATTTCAACCCATGTATTTTTTGAATTCAGAGAAAGAGATATATAAGGACAACTCTTAGGCACCATGAGACAGAATTTACTTCCTCGCCTATTGTGATTTATGAAGGGACATGCACTGTGTTTAATAACAAGGACTTACCTTCTTAGACTTTTTCCTTAAGGTGTAACCTCTGTACCACCCTAAACAAACACAAAAGCGAAACAGTTAGTACAAGGAGACATCACAGCGTCCTAACAGCACCTTCCCGCTGTCAAGAACTCATTGTTTGCAGAACCAGGGAAGTCAGCCCGTAACAGAACTCAGTAATCCTAAGGCTTTGGAGAGATGCTATGGGGTCTCCTAAACAGCATCTCAAAACCACGCTTGAAGCCTGGCCAGGGGCCTCTTCACACAGACCTCCAGCTCCTTCACCTGCACCTGCCGCACGCGGCCTTGAAGGCGCCAATGAGAACTGAAGAAGCAGGGTTCCAGGAGGAGGAGTGGTCCTTTTGACCATCCGGCCCTAGGCAGCCTCCTGGAGTGTGCATTTTCGTATCTGTTCCTCCGCCGGATGGAGCGGGGTCACTGCCAAGTGCACATACCAGCATCCTCAGATCATCAAGAGCTGCTGCAAAACAGAAATCCTATTGAGAGCCGACTTCCTCCCTCTAAGGGATGGAGGGCGGCTTTGCCCTGGAGCAGCCACGATCGCACAAAGTGCTTCTGTGGCAAAGGCTGGACCCCCAACAGGAAGCACCGGGCCCAGGAATATGGGTCCGCCTACCCCCTTGGGGTCTGGCCTAGATTCAAGTTCCCATTCCCTCACGTGGGGAGGACAAGCAAACAGAGCAGAAGACAGACGTGCTAGCACTGCTGGCAGGAATTAAATGCCAAATGGAAGAGACATTCAGTGCCGGACTGGACCGGACCACTCCCTTGTCCCCTCCACTTCAACTGAGGGCAGAAATCGTCCCTGCCAGTGCCCAGGGGTCCACGGCCGGTCACCTACCTCCCAACAACTACACCACGGCAGGACATCGGTGGATGTTTCCTTATCCCAAACACTCTGAAGCTGCTTTAGGCCACCTCACTCCAGAAAAGGAAATCAGAAGCTCGGACAAATTCCAACTCAGCCCCCCAGGAGCAAAAGGACGGAGATACTTGGAAAGTGCCAGTCGAGTCAACTCCCAGAGAACATCCAAGTATTGGGTTTTTATACAGTATGAAATAGTCAAACCTCAGAAACCTGGGATACATGAATGAAGGTGCCCAGAACCTGAAAACGGGCCTATATTGCACCAATGATCACACACCTCTAACAGAGCAATAATTTAACAACCAGAGGTGGAGAGGAACCAGAAAGTGACGGGGTTAAGATCCTCCAGGCACTATGAAGAGATGCTTTCTGAGCATTCAGAAAAGAAGCTGGAAATTGCTAGGAGCCTCGCAAAGGATTTGCTAAGACCTGGATACAACCAATGAACCCATTTCATTTCCTGACAAGGGAACTGCACAGATTGACTAGGGGGCACCGCAGACACAAAATGCCTAGATTTTCCTGAACGTTTGGAGGATTACCTCCTGAGAGCCATGCACTGTCTCCTTCGCGGGTTTCTACCTGCCAAGGCCAGAATCAGCATCCACCCAGGACAATGTTCACAGACAGTGAAATGGAAAAAGTTCAAAAGGCTGTATTCAATGTAAAGGACTGTCCGCTATCCTGTTATTTTATCCTTCCCGTATTTTCAGTATTACTTGGCCCTTTCTTTTCTGAAACTGACATGGGATGAATGTCCTAGAACATCTAAGGAAATACTTCAACGTGGCAAGAAGAAGACAGAAACCAAGTCAAAAATAAGCAACGTTTATCAACAACGTATAGAAGAAGGAACCTAAGAGACTTACACATGAATGAAGAGATGCTCACACTAATAATCAGATAAATCAAAATTTCAAACATAATGTTACTGCACGGTTATTATAGAGAGGGAAATCCCAGTGCACGGTTATTACAGGGAGGGAAATCCCAGTGCACGGTTATTATAGGGAGGGAAATTCCAGTGCTGCAGGATTCCGGCAGCCCCTGGCACTGAGGATGGGAGTGGAGACCACACAACCAGTGTGAGCGTGACCCTACTTATCCAGAGTATATAACCCCACACCCCGCGAGCAGCCGTGCACCCCAAAGACATCCCACATACCCATCCACACGCAGCGGGGCAGACACAGGAGGCCCATGGCAGCGTGATCTACGGGGGCAGAATGAGTGCCCAGAACTGGAGGGTGGTTAGCAAAACATGCAGGTGCACACAGAGCAGTGAGGGCCACGGACTAAATATATACACACAACAGGACTGCGTCTTGGAGCACAGTGCTGAGTAAAAAGGTAAGAAACAGAATGAGGGTCTTCCCTCATTGTGGCGCAGCGGTTAAGAATCCGCCTGCCAATGCAGGGGACACAGGTTCAAGCCCTGGTCCAGGGGGATCTCACATACTGCGGAGCAGCTAAGCCCTTGTGCCACAACTACTCTAGAGCCCGCAAGCCACAAATACTGAGCCCGTGCGCCACAACTACCGAGCCTGCGCTCTAGAGCCCACAAGCCACAAATACTGAGCCCACGTGCCACAACTACCGAAGCCCGTGCACCTAGAGCCTGTGCCCCATAAGAGAAGCCACCGCAATGAGAAGCCCGCGCACTGCAAGAAAGAGTAGCCCCTACTCGCCACAACTAGAGAAAGCCCGCGCGCAGCAACGAAGACCCAACGCAGCCAAAAATAACTAATTTTTTTAAAAGAAGGAAACAGAATGAGAGCTACAACCACATGTATATATGACCTAGAGGGGTGGGAAAGGGAGGATGGGAGGGAAGCTCAAGAGGGAGGGGATATGGGGACATGTGTATGCAGATGGCTGATTCGCTTTGTCGTGCAACAGAAACTAACACGGTATTGTGAAGCAATTATACTCCAATAAAGATCTATTAAAAATATTTATATATATATATATATATATATATACACCAACCAGTACAGGCCAAGAGAAAAATTCACTTCAAACACAGCAGAAGGGTTTTCCAGAAGAAGGAAGAGAAGAAAGAGTTGAGCTACCGGGATAAAAAGATAAGGGGGTCCTTTGATTTTACTTTATGATAACAGACGGTGGTTTCTTTTTTAATGGCCTCTTCCTAAGCAAAAGGAACACCTAGGCTTTCCCTTCCCAAGAATTTCTGCATCTGCTATTCCTTCCACCAACTGAGAACGCAGACTATGTGCCAGAGGCCACACTAGACAGAGCAAATGTAGAAATATCAATAGATTAGACCCAATTTCTGCCCTCCAAGGGCTCACACACCAGAAGATTCCCCTACGACAAGCAGGGCTCAAGCCACCACCAAGGGCAGAGATTTGAGCATGGAGGAGAGAGGACATCCCTCCAGAGGTTTCATGCAGGGAAGTGGGGGCAGGGTGCCCCCCTTCAGGATGATGAGTTGCTGCTGCTTTGGAGGGGCAGGCCAGTGGGAATGCAGCTATAGGAGCAGAAAGGTGCATGGCTCATTGAATTAACAGGCTGATTCACTCCTCCCAGGCAGGGCTCAACCAACCTGCTCCAAACAAGAGACACCCGCCCCCCAACGGCAAGTATAGGTCAGACGTAGTCCTGAAACTCAGGGAGGGCCCCGTCCAGCCCAGGAAAAGGGCAGCCAAGTCAGTGGATACACTGGAGCGTTCCCTACAGGACAGGAGCACACACACTCAAGTCCAGGGCTGGAACCAGCTGAGGACAGGACCAGGCAGAACAAAGCAGGCGCAAGGGAGTCGGAAGGGAGCTTCTGCCCAGGGAGGTGTGCTTAGGCGGAGTCTTCAAGGATGGCTAGTCAGATGGAGGAAGGAGGAGGGAGGCCCGGCAGAGCACAGGTGCAGAGGGGCGCTCACCAAGCATCTGAGAAGCCACCGGCAGCAAAGCTAGGACACGTGTGAGAAGAAGGCTGGGGGGACTTCCCTGGTGGCGCAGTGGATAAGACTCCGCGCTCCCAATGCAGAGGGACCAGGTTCGATCCCTGGTCAGGGAACTAGATCCCACACGCATGCCGCAACTAAGGAGCCGGAGCAACCAAATAAGTAAATAAATTATAAATATTAAAAAATAAAAGGCTGGGGCTCAGGTAGGACAGGAGGAAACTAGATCACTAAGGTCCTGGGTCCTGCCCACCTCACAAGTACCTGCCTGGATGGACAGCACAGTCACCTGTGTCAGGTGTACTGTGTCCTGCTCTGAGTACTGAACTACAAGACAGCCAAAGGCCGGATCTGACCAAACCATGCCCTAATGGACAGCATCTGCGTGCACACTGGGCGTTCTGGAGCTGTCCTGGGTACAATATTTTGCAGGCACCCGGGCCGGCGGCAGGGCGCAGACCCAGCCCAGAGGATGGAGGTTCTGGAAGCAACACAGGATGAGAAGCACGGCTGCGGTGCTCTTCCACTAGGCTGGGGCCAGGTGGCCGGTCACCTGGGACAAGGTGCAAAGGATGCCTGCTGGGTGGAGGCTGCACTGGAGGGCCTGGTGGTCTTCTGTGAAATGAGAGCCTTATCAACATGACTACTTTGTTTGTAGTGGGTTGTGGGTTGAACTGTGTTCTGCCCACCCCAAACAGATGTTGAAGTCCTAACTCCCTCCACCTGTGGGTGTACCCTTATCTAGAAATAGGGTCTTGGCAGATAATCAAGTTAAGATGAGGTCATTACAGTGGACCTAATCCAATACAGTGTCCTTATAAAAAGGAGGAATAGACAGTCAAAGTCAAGCGCAGGGAGGACGCCATGTGATCACACAGGCAGAATCTAGGGCGTTGCATCTACAAGGCAAGGAATGCCAGCGATGTCAGCAAACCACCAGAGCTTGGGGAGACCCGTGGAACAGCTTGCCCCTCTCAGCCCTGAGAAGCAACCAACCCTGCCGACACCTTGGTCTTGGACTTACAGCCTCCAGAACTGTGCGGGAACACATTTCTGTTGTTTAAACTCCCCACTGTGTGGTACTTTGTTACAGTCGCCCCAGGAAACCCAGAGGCAGTCCTCTCAAGACCTTCAGTTGACAGATGCTGGTGGCAGGAAAAGGAATTAAGGTGCATTTTGGAAGAAAATAGATCATTATCACTTTGAAAATTTTGAATAAATTAAGTTCCAGTGTTGTGGTTTCATCAAAAGAATGCCTTCCTGATCTGGGTGCAATGCTGTCCTCTCACACAGGCACAGCATCCAGCCCGTGGAGATCCTTCTGGAAATGAGCAGGTGACAGGACTGGCATCTCCTTGGCTGGAGAGTCACTTAATTAACATCGGTGACCTGGGCTCACCTCTCCTGTCTGGTTGACCCTGGACACTGCTTAAAGGCAGAGGCATACCCCGAATGACCCCTCAAAGCTCAGTCCACCTCCCTGGTGACCGGAAAAGTTCTTTTCTTTGTTCTGTGCTCCAAGCCTCCATGAGCCTGAGACAGAAAAATTAACCATAACTTGCAGGTAAACGTGTTCTTTGAACCTTAATATAAGGAATAATCATCTAGAAATTATATTCTCCGGAGCAATCCCAGTAGTACCCTACCCTGAACAGGATCACATAGAAAGGGAAAGTTAAATTTGACAACCATAAATAAATTTTCTTAGGGGAAAAGTGGAAGGGGTGAGGAGAAAAGAAGAAGAGAATGCCAAACGCTAATATAATCCATAAAATATAAACAGAACAAGAGGAAAGAGCAGAAAAACAATTATTCCATTGTTATTTGATGATAATAAAGTCACCAAGTTTCCCAAAATCAAAACTACTTCCCCAAATGCATTTCTCTGATCGGATTCTGACTAAAACCAAAAAAGACAGCAGTTAAAGAAGGGGAAGTCGTTTTATGTCACAGGGTCTTTACAAAGCCTGGAATATTTTTATCAGGACTTAGAAGGCTGATGAGCCCGGAAACTAAGTCCTCACCGAAGAATCCTGTATCACGATGCTGGCCAAACAGTCAAATGCCTGCCACCAATTATTTTTTTTAGTTAAATGTACAGGGATCATCGACTCACCCAAGGATTCCCCTGTTTAAAGAGTGCATTCTTCTTACAAAGCAAAAAACAAGAAGTCGCAGCCCCTGCTACCCCGGGGCTGCACAGGAAATTGTTATCTATTCAGGAATGACGTCATTGCCCAGTGTTTATTAACCAGGATTTCAAATGCAACTGACCGGGGGCAGAAATAAAAAAAGATGTAAGAGCACTTCTCCTTCAGATCTGAAAAGTGTCTGAGATGAGAGCTTTGATCCTTAACCTCTAGTTAATTTCTCTATTTCCTCTCAGTCACTGGCCATATATATACTGGGAGCAGATAAGGCAATCCAAATGTCAGCTGTAAAAACTGAAACCAGGCAGAAGGTGCCCATTGCAGCTACTCATTCACATAAAGACCGTTTTTGCAGTATTACATCTGCTTCCAGGCATATGACACAAAAGCTGATTTTTTTTTCCTCCCAGTAGGACATTTCTTAGGGTAAAAGGTGCAAATGGAATGGAATTCCAAGCCAGCATGAGTCAGATGGGGAAATGAGGGACATGGACGTGGACACGGGTATTTTAATGGGTTTGCGCTTCTCCAGGAACACAGGAGCAAGCTGCAGCTTGCCTGGTGCACAGAAGCTGAACGCTGTGTCACTCGCGTGCAGAGAACGTAAAAGACCGAGTCTGAAGATCAATTTGTGATTACTACGGGATGTGTGCAATTTCCTCTCCCCGTCACCCAACCTCCTACTTGGAAGGGTCTGGCTAAACCCAATCTGAAAGCAATTTTGCTGTTGGAATTATCAATTTTAATCAGTTCTCTTTTTTCCTATGTTATATGGAAGTCACCCCCTTTGAACAAGAAACAAAGCCACCAACACTCCTCTCACACATGTGAGGAGTCTAAAACTCAAGCCCGTTATTGCTCCTTTTCTGTGCAACGATAAACCACAGCATAAAACGAAAGGTGTCCCGTTTTAATGATTTGCAAAACCCTAAATATGAAAACCAATTGTCTGAAAACCCAAGGACATCAGGAAACCACTGTCACCGACAGTATATTTATTGGATGATTACAACAATTGCTTTACTGGACCACATCCCACAAAGCTGTGACAATCTCTGTTCACCATTCAGAAAATGGGGTCATAGATTTTTTAAAAAGGAAATAAGAAATGACAATTTTGGTTCCTCTCAGGAAGTTGTTAACAAATCTACGTGAGAGCATAGAAAGTCTCACCATTCACATAAAACACCTCAAAACAATGAGCCTAACACGAAAATATCTTAAATGTATTTAAAAATTTTTTTTCAAGTGGTCAGTTATTAACAGTCAAGATGGGCATACATTTGCCAAAAAGGAAACAATGGGGGTTTTTTTCTTAACAATAAAACAACTATTTCAACAGAAAACTTGAGAGGTTAAAAGTTTAGGAATTTAGTTTTAAGTTCACCTTAAATTAAAAAAAAAAAAAAAAACTGATTTAAATAACAGATAACCTCACCACTGCCCTTTCCCGACAGAGCATCTATCATGCAAGAAAACCAACCATACACGCTTTCCTAACAGGGTAATGCTTTGCCCATTACGCACTGAAAAATGTACTAACTGCACAAAACTACAAACAGAAAGACACCAAAATAAATACGCACCTTCATACGTTTCCAGGATGTGCACGGTGTCTCCTATTTGTAAAGAAAGTTCATCCGCTCCCCTGGCATCATAGTTATAAAAAGCTGTTCAGAGGAAAAAGAGGTAAGAAGATATTAGTAAAGGTAACTATGCTGGATTGTTTCTGCCATTTTTAAGATTGAAATATTCAGTCTTTGCCTGGATCATCCTATCCTCTCTGATACCCACAAAAGGAGGCTTTTTTTTCAAGGGTCCTCAGTTTAAGAAGAAGAAATTCATAACTACTCATAACGCCAGAAAACCACAAGTGGTTTATTGTGGTAAAATACGTATGATGTGAAATTTGCCTTTTTAACTATTTTTAAGTGTACAATTCAGTGATGTTAGTTACATTCACAGTGTTGCTCTCCCATCACCACCATCAAGTTCCAGAACTTTTTCATCACTCCAAACAGAAACCCCATAACCATTAAGCAATCACTCCCTATCACTCCCTCCGCCAACCCCTGATAACCTGTAACTCACTTTCTGTCTCTATGAATCTGACTACTCCAGCCACCCCGTTAATCATACAGTATTATCCTTTTGTGTCTGCTTCTTCCACTTAGCATAATGTTTTCAAGGTGTACGCACATCGTACCACGTATCAGAACCTCATTTCTTTTTATGGTGGAATAATGTTTATAACAGAAAGAAAACTAAAGCTCTTGTCAACAACATTTCAATTATCACTTCATATACTGTCTTATATTTCCATTAACAGACTTTTTTCATTAGATGACTTTTTCCTATCTGTAAATCAATGACACATGGACTGAATATTTTTTGAAAATCAAACTGATTCTTTAAATTACTACATAGCCAATGCTGCTATTAAGCAATCAAACAGGCAAAAAAATAGGTCTAATATTAGGAAGCAATCCTTCAAACTGACAATATGCAACAAATGTCTGAAATCCCTGGGACTTCCCTGGTGGTCCAATGGGCAAGGCTCCACGCTCCCACTGCAGGGGACCGGGGTCCGATCCCTGGTCGGGGAACTAGATCCTACACGCCGCAACTAAGAGTTTGCATGCCACAACTAAGAAGTCTGCATGCCGCAACAAAGATTCCGCATGCTGCAACTAAGACCCGGCGCAGCCAAAAATAAATAAATAATAAATTAATAAATAATTTTTTTAAAAAAAGCAGTTCTGTTCCTCCTAGCTGAGAACGTAAAAGTCATTCCATTAAATTCAGGTCATACTTTTGCTCAAGCATGGAGATAAAGGCAACAATCACACTGCTTATGACTCCCAAATATTCAATTAGCTTACTCTCAATAAAAATAAATAAACACAGTGATTTTTTTCCTTCCTAGTGGATTCTCCCTAAAAAGATGTCAGGCTTGAGGCAAAATTCATCGTAAACCTTTCATCAATCAGGATCAAACTCTCATCCATCCATCCTGAACACCTTGTTGGACGAGGCTGTCTTTTACAGGCACCATTACTGTGTCCATTTCTGGAGTCCTCCCTGGTCACAACATGTGCAAACTTCTCCAACAAGCATGGGGGGGCCTCCATCATCTGATTGACTGCCTGGCCCTCCTTCCAACCACACACCCCTGGCCCCTGTCGCTGCTTCTCCTTGAAAGAAAGAAGCCACACCTGTGTGTCACTCCTTATTCCTCCCCTGCCAAAGGGGTCTTCCCACCCGTGTCACCTCTCCCAGAGAGCCAAGTCCAAGCATGTTCAAACCCCTTCTACAAAAACACCCAGCAACACAGCACACTTCCTGTCGCCAGCTCCATAACCAAGCTGCATTTGCGGTCTCTGGAAGCAGGCAGAGTGGGCAGGGTACCACCTCTCCCCAGGGAGACCTGGGTGACCTCCAGCAAACACCCTACCCTCCGCATCTTCAGCTTCCCCATATGTATAATAAGGAGACTGATATCTACCTCATAGGATGGTGTGTGTACTCTGTGTCTTAAAGAAAATAATGCTGGGACTTCCCTGGTGGTCCAGTGGTTAAGACTCTGCACTCACAATGCAGGGGGCCCGGGTTCGATCCCTGGTCAGGGAACTAGATCCCACATGCCGCAACTAAGATCCCGCATGTTGCAACCAAGACCCGGCGCAGCCAAATTAAAAAAAAAAGAAATGGATCTGTTAATTTGATGCAAGGTGTTGCCCGCAGTGAACGCTTAGTAAATTGTAAAAGCTCTTATTGTGTTTGAGGGTATTTTGTTTTTACTGCCACAAAGACTTAGCAGACTATCACATGTTCACAAAGGTGCTTTGTGTCCACCTAGAGGGGTGGGATACGGAGGGTGGGAGGGAGACACAAGAGGGAGGAGATATGGGGATATATGTTTATGTATAGTTGATTCACTTTGTTATACGGCAGAAACTAACACACCATTGTAAAGCAATTATACTCCAATAAAGATGTTAAAAAATAAAATAAAACATCAATAACCATATATACATAGAAAATTCTATTTTCACAGTTATCTTCCTATATTTTCACCCATACTCATAAAATTTAAATGTCCTCAACTGACATAAATGGTTATTAGTAGTTATTAAGTTTATTTAGCATTTTATGGTGAATCTCTAACAAGAAATAACAGCATTAGATAAAGAAAGCTCAAAACATATGCCAGCCTCTCCCAGCCCAGCACCACCACTTTCAAAGCCTTCAGGAACCATAAATGCATTTATCATCGTTCTTAACAGCATCCTTGCCAGCATGCCTGTTCTATTACAGATGTGGAAAAAATAAACACATCAAAAACAATACAAATAAAATAAAATGGACAAGTCCACTGTAAATACATTCAGGTCCATGCGAATTTGTAAGGCATACACGCAAAAACCTTTAAGCGGTGGCCCCTCCATCTCTGAAGCAGGCAGAGAAAAGCAGTTGTGAAAATCTCATACAAGAATAGAGACATTTCAAATTTAACTATGAAATGAGGCTTTGAAGACCCATGATTTCACAGATGAAGGGAAAGGGAGCCTCCGAGCGTTTATGCCCGTGGCCCCAAATGACACAGCAGAGCCTGGACCACAACAATGGCTGCCCAGCCCCCAGCCTTAAGGATCCCACATTTAAATGCAAATTAAAAGACTCAACTATACAAATTATTGGACGAGGAAGTGGGAGGGAGGAGGAAGTGTGGCAGATAGAAAAATGGCCCACAGAGAGGTTCACATCCAAATCCCAGAACCTGTGAGGATGCTCCCTTACACAGCAAAGGGGGCCAGTGCAGATGTGATTGGGTTAAAGATCTTGACATGGGGGTGCTAATCCCGGGTTATCCAGGTGGGTCCAATGTAAATCACAAGGTTCCACAAGAGACAACAGGAGTGTCAGAGTCAGCCAGAGATGTGACCATGGAAGCAAGGAAGGGGCCACACGCCAAGGAGTATTGGCAGCCTCTAGAAACTGGACTAGGCAAGGAAAGGACTCTCCCCAAGAGCCTCCAGAAGGAACAGAGCCCTGCCGAAACGCTGACTTCAGGACTTCTGACGTCCAGAACTGTAAGATTATAAATTTGTGTTGTTTTAAACCCCTAAGTTTGTAGTTTGTTATGGCAGCAATAGGAAACATATGCAGGAAGGAATGTGGAAAACAATATAAAAGTGGTATTCTGTGGTTGATTTATTCACTGCTGAGCAGGGTTGCAAGCATCTGAACAAGTCTGAGGCTGAGGTTCCCCAATTCTTGGGTGATAGAAAAATGAGAACAATGCAGTGAATTTTTCTTGAATAAGCCCCAAAGTGTTCAATGTAAAAGGCTATGCCTTATTCTGATTATGGGACCTTTCGACGCTGCCCCTTTTTGGGGGTGGGGGGTGAAAGCAGAGACGAGAAGGACCAGAGGCATCTTCTCCTTTACGAAGGATGATGACGGCAGATGGCATCTGGCTTTAAAAATGTCTTTACTTGACAGAAGCACAGAGATGGCGGCCTTTCTGCAGTTTGTCTTCTTTATCGCTCTCGTCTGTTAAGATGTGGGAACACCTCTACAAGAGAACATGGTCATCGCGCCTTCGTTCACATCTTTGGAGAGAGCAGCCTTCACCTCCCTCTGGCTGGTGGGTGAGCCCTTCATCGATTCCTGCCCCTCAAAGCCATTTACCTTTCTTAATAGCCTGGCTTGAAACGGCGTCACTGGGTATAAATGCACCTTCAACATGAATTTCTCAATCCTGGACCGCAGAGTCCAGCATACAAGCTTGACGTGTTATTCACGTGAAAAGTGAAATGGGAGCTTCTTTCCCAGGATGGCGTGTTGGGGGGGGGGGGTAGCTTTTTTCTGGCAGAGCCGGCAGCAGCACAGAGTAAGGAAGCGCATGGATCGTTTTTTCCCAAAATAAAAAATAAACACTCTGGTCCGTGCTTCACACAGCTTAGGTGCATCAGAGATGTTGAAAAGCCAAAGGCATCTCCTCTGCTCAGCCTCCTGATCACCCTAAAAACGGCTGCCCAGGAACGTAAGGAAAGAAGTGTGGCTCATAAGTCATACAGGAGGGCTTCCATTTACACCAAGATTATTAATAACACTGACGGTGACGATACTACAGACGAAGATGACGATGGTGGTGGTGGTGAGGGTGATGACGCTGGTAATGACAGTGGCTGACATTTACTGAGTATATTCCCTGGGCTAGCCAGTGAGCTAAAAGCTTCACACGTTCAGCTAATTCAACACTCACGACAGTCCTAGGAGGTGAAGATAAAATTTTTCCCACTTCCCTCATCAGGGTTTATAGCAGCTCAGAGTCGGCCCATACATGAGCAGCCAGTGGAGGGGCTATACAGGGCCAGAGGCCAGCCTGGATGAGAGGCCAGAATGCCAAAGCCCTGCAGGGTCTCTTCCTCAAACTTCGCCCTCTCTGGGCCTCACGTTGCCCTCCTGATGGCTTCCCACAAATCACAACATCCAGCCTGGATCCCTGACAGGCAAATGTGCCTGTGCACTCCTGAAGTCCACCAGGGTCTACAACATCATGGTAATGGATTTCTCATTCCTTACACAGAAGAACCCAAATTGAGGTAATTCCAGAAATGCAAGGTTGGCTTAACATCCAGAAAACAGATTAATGTAATTCACC